ATTCTATACGTCTACTGATGCTCCAATCGCGATCAGGCTGCGATCATACTTTGCGGCAGCGCCCACCAGCGACCAGTCAGCGTCCACCAACGGCCATCATCGTTGCGAGCGTCAGTCAGTGCCATCGACCAGGAAAGTATGGGTATCTATCCAACGAACGGCAGCATCCACTAGCGTCTAGGACTAGAGAGTATGTGGAAGCAGGAGGGTAGCAGACTGGTGGTAGAGTATGGGGAAGTAGGAAGGAGCAGACAACTGCATGAGGCGTCGTGAAATTGCTGAGTGTGCAAATGCACCGTAGAACTGCTAGAGCACAGAATTATGCAATTTAGTGTACGGTATGGTGTTGTAGCACGGTGCGATTGCTACGCCGCGATTTCACGACGCCTAATCTAGCTGATTGCTCTCTTCCACCTCCTCATACTTTACCAGCTGTCGGCTACCCTCCTACTCCCCATAATCCCTACTCCTGGACGATGGTGGGCGCTGCCGTTCGCCAGATCGATATCTATATTTTCCTAGCCGCTGGCGCTGACAGACGCTAGAAACGCTGGTGGACGCTGCCTCAAAGTATGAACGCAGCCTTTCGAGCTAACTTTACCTCCTAATCCTGATTTTATCAGGTATTAACAGCTACCGTCACTCACGGATTCGCAGCAGTGTGTATTTTGATCTGCTTTCTTGCTGCGAACATTGTTCGTTGTGCAAAAGTGCTTCCTACATCAGTAGTGAGTCGCTCTTATTATGAATTAGGTCGACTAGTTAGGGTGTCATTCTTTCAATGTGGACTGTGTGCCCTTCATAAACTAGTGGAAGCGACAAACCCTGAACAACAGGCTGAAGAAATTGACTGCTTACAAAATAGAAGCAGCTGTAATCCGTCCTGAAGTCCCACGCAAAGGTGGTCATTACAGTCTTGTTTGCTGCGGATGATAGGGCGTTTCCGCTCGGCTGCTGCGCGCCGCCAGCCCCTTCTCCACCAGCTGTTGAAGCGGGTAGACAGCAGCTGGAGAAAATAACTGACACGAAAGGATATCATGCAAGCTTGTTGGTTGCCAAAGAAAAGTGGCACTGGTACCGCGTCAAAACCGTTCCCCCCATTGAGGCGCCCCGTCGCCTACAGTCCCCCATTGAGACGCCCCATCGTCTACAGTTGTTGGGCGCCGTTCGACGACGGGGGCCTTTTGTACTATCACTGTTTCATTAGGTTCGGTTTACAAGTTCACTGTGGCGAAACTCTTGTAAGCTGCAGCAAGGTTGTCGAAGCCATCATGTTAAAACCTGTCAACTCGAGAAAAGGCTGTCCACATAGGGCGACACGTTGATGGGAAATAGCTCATGTGCAAAATGCCCCCCCCCCGTCGCCGAACTGTGCCTGTGTGAATGAGACTGTAGCTTGTGGTTGAGTAGAAAATGTATGGACGAGAGCATGAAGAGCCACATTTGAAGCGATCAAGTTTGCCACAGCTTGCGCCGATGTGAGCTCGAATCTGGACAACAGCACAAGGTGAATCGCTGTCACTGCGCCATAGGACACTGTCATGTGGCTTTGA